GGGCAACGTTTATATTTTTTCGAATCATAGAATCGACCCTATTAAGTTTCAGATAAATAAGACAGGTCAAAATTCGTACCTATTTCAAGAAAGCCAAACTGCCGCGACTTTGGCGTAGTCACAGATTTATGAGAACTACAACGATTATTCGGCCACGCATAACTATGTCCATTTGAGCAAAGGTATATTCGGCTAAGCATAAGTATAGCGCTGATTTAAAGGGATTAAAAAGCATCTTGATGATGAATATCGACTGGTGGTGAGAATGTAAGCATTAAGACGCTTTGATTCTACAAGAAGAATTTTTGCACGGCTCGGTTAAATTTTATGCCAGAGGATTCACGGTCAGCCAGTATCTGTTTAGCATTTGCAGTCTTCTTTTACGTCCAATACTTTCCAAATCACAGGCATTTACACATGCATTATGATGCTTTTGTACACCCTGCAACAATCTGTGGAATAGACAGCAGTAGTCTTATTTATGGCTCAGATTCGCACCTCTGTCTGAAATTCGGTTGAGTTCCTGCACAGTCACTTATAGAAAATGGCCTAGTGAGGGACAGCCCACTGTTAAAGTCAGCGTGAACATTCTCGAGCAAGGTCGAAGCTCTCATGACATTGAATACAATAGGAACGAGTGGATAGAAAACTGGCTCTCTAGAGGAAGACTGCTCTTCGATCGATAAACTCACTTAATATTCCACCGTCTTCATATCATTTCTGAGTACAAGGCTCACTTGGTCGTCGGTGGAGACTAACAATGTATCAGACCTTCCCACTCATGCCAGGATTGCGTCAACACCATTTAAATTGGAAAATACGATATAGCACGGCGCTCAGACAAACGTATACATCGAAATGAGAAGTAAGACTTTTCTACGATAAGACCGGTCTCCACATGCGAATAGATTTGGGAAAATAGCTCGTTTGTGTGCGATGAGCTCGAAAATTACAATTCACGGCTTGTCTGAGTATTTCCAGAAGACCGCGCGTGCTAATGTAAACATAGTATTAAAGGGGGTGCAGCTGTGGTTTGCTTTTACATTAGATATTTCACAACTTTTATGTATAAAGACAACCTAGTGTACCACGGTGTACAGGTATACTGTCGACGCTCTTTTTACTAGCTAAATCATCTGCGTGAAGGACGATGTTGAGTAGTGGAAGGCAAATGCCAAAGTGAATTAGTTAGTAGCTACACAATCTACCCTTCCAACATATCTGTATATACCTTCCTGTGTGCCTTTCTTGTTCCCTGTTCCTTGGTAGCAGCCGCTCTCGAGCTTCTCCCTGCGACGCCCCG